TGTTAAAATAGCAGGATTTCTACTATCAAGTATACTACTTGTTGCAAATAGTGGCAATTATCTGCACTTCAGTATTGTAGTACATTATAAAACCGTATACAATAATAACGTATTGTGTAAATTATCATTTTAATTCAAATTATTAAATGGATGCCACGTTATTGGTACAATAAAGCCCTCCCTACACCTACCCTAACCCTACCCGATACTTTATTTTCAACTTTTTGATTATTTCCTTAATTTTTATTGAAAATAAATGCCTTTACGATGTGATACGAGATTTGAAAAGGGAGAAAAAAAAAGTTCGGCAAAAGGCGGGATCGAACCCGGGTCGATCGCGTCAAAAAGCCAACGACACGCGCTTATCCATCTGCGCCACTGGAGCTGATTATTTACAGTCGCTTTTAAAGTGTTGACTAGCCCAATCACAGTTGCAGGGCGGAATTACTGTACATAGCCTCTGCCAACAAGGCAGGCTATTTGCACTAAGTGTAAATAGACACTGTATTTTTTATTCCAGAGTAAGCGCAATTCATACAATACATTTAAACTGAGCTACTTTAATACCATCTCCGAACTTTCTACCACGACTCTGCTGTTCTTCGGCTGGTTCGTCCCTGTATACGTTGATTGACAGATGTCTCGTCCAGTCAGCGGTGAGTAATCCCAAACCAATGACGCTGTCTCAAACTATACCTACCTCTTCTGGTTTGTCTGATTTGTCGTTGTGTTTTCTGACTTGTTATAATGTTTTCTGAATTGTTATTTTGTTTTTTAGATTTGCGTTTGCGTTTGTAATTTGTTCATTTGTTTTCAGAATTGCGATTTTTGAGGTTTTGCACTTCTCGGCCACTGTAGAATTATGACAATTAACCAGTTGTGAAATATTGTTAACATGCATTTGGTGTTTAGCAAAATCAGTTTTGTTGCAGAAGTTCAACATGCATATAATTTCTTCTCATTTTTACATTGGTGAAAAAAAAAGGAAATAAAGTTGCATGAGTTCAGAATCTATTTGCACTGTAAAAGATGTTTTAATGGGTGAATTAGGAAAATCAAGCAGCCTAAAATATCTTTCTTACTGTAGATGCAAAAGAAGATTATCTTATTAGGCAGCGTTAATATGAACAGTCACTTCACTAGTTTTGGATCAGAGCCGGTGTGTGTGTATGTGTGTGTGTGTGAGAGATATATCAGTTGTGTCATTATAACGAGTGTTGGGATTTCCTTTCTTGCGTGTGTTTTCCGTGTTTTGTGTGTGTGTGTGTGTGTGTGTGTGAGTGAGTGTGTGTGTGTGTGTGTGTGTATGAGTGTGTACAGGTTTATACTGTATATCCTGGTGGGGACTTACACCTGAATACACACAGACTCATGGGGACTCATGTCATGGTGGAGACCTAAATTGAGGTCTCCATGGGTACAAAAACTTATAAATCATACAGAATGATTTTTTTTTGAGAAAGTAAAAATGCAGAAAGTTTCCTGTAAGGGGTAGGTTTAGGTGTAGGGTCAGTGTAGAGCGATAGAAAATACGGTTTGTACAGTATAAAAACCATTACGCCTATGGAGAGTCCCTACAAGGATAGCTGACCAGTGTGTGTGTGTGTGTGTGTTGATGAAAGCAGCCAAGGGCAGTGACGGGCATCACAACGCTCTGCTTCCTCCAGGAGAAAGACGCCTGCAGGTTAACAAGACTGACCCGCATCCTGTGACAGCACAATGAGAGTCATAAATCATTTACAGCATGCTTCCTTTCTCTGTCCACTCACTCACTCACTCACTCACACACACACACACACACACACACACAGAGAGACACACACACACACACGCTGCAGGTGCCAGAATGAACTTCTGCCAATGAATTTACCGCCGAAAATACACCTTACTGGCCACAAATATGCTTTTTTTCAGTAGTATATTAAAAATATTTGTATTTAGATTTTTTAAATATGTATAATATTTATAAATATAAATGTATTTATTAATATATTTTTAATACATTTTTAAGGTGCTCCTGGTACATACATACATGCATACATACATACAAATGTATTTTTAATACATTTAGTATTTTTTACATTTTAGGTCAGATTTTATATTAATAAATATATTTTAAAATATTTATAAATATAATTATGTTTTGTATTTACAATGTATTTTTAATATATGACAATGAAATTATTTAGCTGCATTTTCTTTTCTTTTTTGTATATTAGTGGCAGTCAGAATAATATATATATATATATATATATATATATATGTGTATCTGGTGTGTGGTGGGTATTCATTGTGGACCTTATTCTTTTGTATATTGAGTGATACTGTAGTTGGAGGCACTCAGATGCTCTTCTGTATGAAGGACATTGAAAGAGAATGAGAAGGAAGAACAGAACCGAGGGGAAGTAGTGTCCTCCTCGACCTTCTGAGGAGGAAGTTGTCCTGCAGTGTGTGATGAGTTCAGCTCTCTGTCACGTCAAATCAGCTCAGATTCACTCTGAAAGAGAATGGAGGAAAAGCCCAGAACATCCCAATAACAGACGAGAGACACCAGTGAGTGTGTTCCCCGGTCATGCCAGACAAATTATTTATTTATTTTATTTAGTCATTTAGCAGACGCTTTTATCCAAAGTGACTTACAAATGAGGACAACAGAAGCTCTAACATAACAGTAAGCCAAACACCAAAAAAACAACTACATATGTGTATGCACAACCACACACACATACATATATACTGTATACTGTATGTACATACACATTTATAAATTCAATATATACAGTGGGTACGGAAAGTATTCAGACCCCCTTAAATTTTTCACTCTTTGTTATATTGCAGCCAAAATATGTGAAAAATAATGTGTTTTTCGAACAACCTAGTATGAGAGCCTGTTGTAGTACACCCCCAAAACAAAATCAAGACTTTGTAAAATAACATAATAGGACCCCTTTAAAGAAAGAAAAGAAAGTTGCATGTGAAGGAATGGTTTTCGGGTTGAGTTTGAGCTTGGCTCGTTCGGTTTTGATAAAGTGTCCAGATTTGATCAGATGCATGTGAACGACTGAATCACATCTGAACATATGCTCTGTCTGTGATCTTCTGGTCTGTAGATGTGGGTGAGTGACAGCAGACAGCAGTGAAGTGAATCAGATTGAAACGTGTGTGACTCTGTCAGTGGGAGGATGGAGAGAGATGTCGCTGTCGGTGTCGTGGTGTTGTTGGTGTTGCTGTGGGTGTAGCGGAGCGTGTCTGTGGTCACACCTGCACACAGCTGCCAGGATGATGGATGCTCCATTAGCACAGCTGTAATTGGCGTTCTCCACGCTCCAGATCCAGACGCTGCTCTGAGGTTCCTCTACAGACCTGCTGCTGCTGCTATGAGCTCTCAATCTGAGCTACAGTCCATCCGTCTGATGATGATGTTAGTCCTGTGTGCTAAAGACAGCCCTGACACTCTGAATGTACCTCTTATCATCAGCATAGTAGTGAGCACTCACTTTCTCAGTTGCTTTCATACTGTTTTTGCACATTAATTTACTCCATTTTATTTTATTTTATTCTATTCTATTTTATTTTTGTTATTTTATAATTGAATTTGATTTTATTTATAAATTTTTTTTTTATTTTGTTTTATTTTTTCTAATTTTATTTGATTTCATAATTTTTGTTTTGTTTTATTTTATTTTATTTATTATAGTTTTATTTTATTCATTTCTTGTTTCGTTTTATTTAATTTCTGATTCAATTTTAAATTTTGTATAATTTTACTTTGTAATTTTTATTTTAAATAATTTTATTTTATTTTTTATAATTTTATTTTATTCATGTTTTATTTTTTTATAATTGCATTTTATTTTTTATAATATTTAATATTAGTTATGTTTTTTTTTAAATATTATTTAATTTGATATTTTTTATGTTTCATTTAATCTTATTTTTTATAATTTAATTTAATTTTGTATAATTTAATTTAATTTTTTATAATTTAATTTTATTCATGTTTTACTTTATATTTTTATTTTATTTTCCTGAGTTAACATCTAGCCCTAAGATGCCATTGAAGCATATGGTTCCAAGCAAAATAGTGTATTTTTATTGTAAAATATATATATTTTTAAACCTTTTTTAACTTTATTGTAGAGTGTTACTGATGGGTTTGAAACTCGACAGCAAATGCATGATAAACATGATAAACATGATAAAACAGATGTTTTTCCTGTAGAAACATCAGTCACGGGCCTCATTTGTGTTCAGGTTGACTGTGACACCGAAGCAGATTGTCTTGTATTGCTAATAGATTTTCATGCTCTGATGGCGGTTTCTGTGTGGGTTCCTCTACAGACCTGCTGCTGCTGCTATGAGCTCTCAATCTGAGCTACAGTCCATCCGTCTGATGATGATGTTAGTCCTGTGTGCTAAAGACAGCCCTGACACTCTGAATGTACCTCTTATCATCAGCATAGTAGTGAGCACTCACTTTCTCAGTTGCTTTCATACTGTTTTTGCACATTAATTTACTCCATTTTATTTTATTTATTCTATTCTATTATATTTTTGTTATTTTATAATTGAATTTGATTTTATTTATAAATTTTTTTTTTATTTTGTTTTATTTTTTCTAATTTTATTTGATTTCATAATTTTTGTTTTGTTTTATTTTATTTTATTTATTATAGTTTTATTTTATTCATTTCTTGTTTCGTTTTATTTAATTTCTGATTCAATTTTAAATTTTGTATAATTTTACTTTGTAATTTTTATTTTAAATAATTTTATTTTATTTTTTATAATTTTATTTTATTCATGTTTTATTTTTTTATAATTGCATTTTATTTTTTATAATATTTAATATTAGTTATGTTTTTTTTTAAATATTATTTAATTTGATATTTTTTATGTTTCATTTAATCTTATTTTTTATAATTTAATTTAATTTTGTATAATTTAATTTAATTTTTTATAATTTAATTTTATTCATGTTTTACTTTATATTTTTATTTTATTTTCCTGAGTTAACATCTAGCCCTAAGATGCCATTGAAGCATATGGTTCCAAGCAAAATAGTGTATTTTTATTGTAAAATATATATATTTTTAAACCTTTTTTAACTTTATTGTAGAGTGTTACTGATGGGTTTGAAACTCGACAGCAAATGCATGATAAACATGATAAACATGATAAAACAGATGTTTTTCCTGTAGAAACATCAGTCACGGGCCTCATTTGTGTGCAGGTTCGCTCTGACACTGAAGCAGATTGTCTTGCATTGCTAATAGATTTTCATGCTCTGATGGAGGTTTTTGTGTGTGTGTTCTGTATCGAGATGGCGGGTGAATTGGAGCAGGACCGTTGGGGTGGCGACTAATGAAATAGTGCTCATCTAAAACAATGAAGGTCAGGAAATTAATTGGTTTAAGTCATTAGCTCAGAGGAATCAGGCGGCCCGTCTGAAGATTATGCTCTAGATCGCGAGTCGTGGCCTTTGCGGGCGATCGACACGCCGCTGATTAATTGCGCCACTTAAGATTAAAGCCCAGAGACGCGGGGTGGAATTAAACAGCTCTTTGTTGATCTGCGGCTTTTCACTCATCTCAGTGTTTCATTAACAAAATGACTCGCCTTCGAGAGCCACGAGCCGCGCTTCAGTTCATCTGATGATCAACAAGAGCACGAGGATCAGGACGATCAGAAACACAAGACCACAGATTAATGCTCTCACTCGCTCTCATCATTGTGTTCTAGTGAATATTTATTTGAAGTTATTTTAGTATCATTTATATACTATTATAGTTTAATATTTATTTTGTATATTTTTTCTTTTCATTTTAATTTTACATCAAGTTTTAGTCATTTTGTTTGCCTTTTTTGTAATATATATATATATATATATATATATAAAGATATTTAGCATTTCCAATTAATGTAGGCCTGTTACTATTATTATGAAGTAACTTTTAACATTTAAAAATTACAATTAATTTACCCCGCAATAATGACCAAATAACTGACGCGCTGCGAGGATAACAAAAGATTAGGCTATTATTATTTATTTTATTACAAGTAATGACAGTTTTTATGGTTTTAGTTTTAGTTAATAATAACTCTGATCTAAATGTATTGTTACTAAATAAATGATAAAAATAAGATTAAATTTGATTAAACAAATAAATAACACTTTTATTATTTTTTTTGTAGAAAATAAACAATAATGTCACGTGAAAAACCTCATATATTTGCAAAATTACATTTTACTCATAATATTTTACACACAAACTACAGTAGTATGGATTTGATGGCTAAATCAATGACTTTATATGTTGAAATTACATTAATGTTCTCACTCACTCATTTTATTTCTGTTAACATGCATTATATTTCAAGTAACAATTTTTATTTATTTATTTATTTAGTATGGTTTTAGTTTTAGTTAATGATAATAACCCTGATTTCAAACTGGGGTCTGTAGAAAATATTAAAGAAAAATAGTGTAAAAATAAATAATAACAATAAGATTAAACTAAATAAATAAACATAATTTGATTATAATAATTTAATAAATAAAATGTTGATTAAATAAACAATTAAAATAAATAATATATCAGTAATGTAACATTAAAAAAAATCCAAATAATATTTTACTTTTATTTATAATGCAAAATTTTCACAGTATAAGATGACTCTTTACACTTGAAAATACATAGATGTTGTTTTAATATTCCTTGCATGAGGATGATCTATACTACAAGCTACTTAACAAAAAAAAAGTAGATGCGCTAACTGTATTCAGTCTACTTTATTTTCAGCTAGTTAAAGTGACCTTTTCTTTCAAGTTACATAACTATGATATTACAGATATGACGGCTGAAGACGTCCTCATATGTGACCCTGCAGCACAAAAGCAGTCTTAAGTCGCTGGGGTATATTTGTAGCAATAGCCAACAATACAT